AAAAAAAAAAAGAAAGAAAAAAAGAAATGTATTTTCCACAGTCCTGAAGGCTGAAAATTCTAAGATCAAGGCACCAGAAGATTGGTGGTGTCTGGTGAGGACCAGATTCCTGGCTAATTGGTTAATAGATGGCTGTCTTTTTACCTTGTCCTTAAAGGAAAAGGAAGGGGGAGAGTTCTCTGGGGCATCTTTTATTTTTCTTTTCAACTTCCTAATTTATCGGGCGGCGCCTGTGGCTCAGTGAGTAGGGTGCCGACCCCATAGACCGAGGGTGGTGGGTTGAAACTCAGCCCCGGCCAAACCGCAACAAAAAATAGCCAGGTGTCGTGGCGGGCGCCTGTAGTCCCAGCTACTCGGGAGGCTGAGGCAGGAGAATCACCTAAGCCCAGGAGTTGGAGGTTGCTGTGAGCTGTGTGATGCTACCATGGCACTCTACCGAGGGCAGTAAAGTGAAACTCTGTCTCTACCAAAAAAAAAAAAAAAAAAAAGACTTCCTAATTTATCTTTATTTTTATTTTTTGTCATTTCACTTATTTTTTATTCAGTCATGGTAGAGACCATTGGAAATTGCTGGTGCTGACTTCCCTGCACGTTGTCATGGCAGGCTATTGGGAAAAATTTTCAATTAGCAATAATCACACCTCAGATAAACCTAATTGGCTATAATACTGCCACTGCACACAGCTATTGTTTTTAATTTTCTTTTTCATGAAGACTCTGCCTTCATGACCACTCACCTCCCAACACCATCATGGGGGTCAGGGGCAGAGATTAGATTAGTCCCTCTTACTGTTTTGATGTACGCGGCAGATAAGAGTACACCTTACTCCTAAACATTTCAGCCCGCCTGTCATTAACTAGAGTTCCATCCTGGGGATTAGGATTACGCGTGAATTTGAGAGGGATGCGCAGTCTAAGGCAGAGGGCAGCTGGACTCTATTCCATTTGTCTTTCCTCCTCAGCGGCTGTGTCCTCATGGGGATGATGGTCACAGGAGCAGACTCCAGTGTGTGAGCTCACTTCAAGCCTCTGCTTCCAGCACATCAGCTCACATTCCTGTGACAAAGCAAGTGACTTTGCACAAGCTCGAAAAGAGTGAACCGCGCCACCTTCTTGTGATGGAGGTGCAAAGTGGCATGGCAGTGTGCATCCGGATAAAGTACAGAAGCCATCACGCAGTCTACCGCAAAGAGAAGGCCAGTCAGCCTCTCCCACCATCAGCACCCCAGGCTGACAGAAGCCTCCAATGTGGACAGCTCTGAAGTGTCTTGAGGGGGTCTATTCCTCAACCACACAAAGCTGTTGTGTGAGTTCCTTTCTTTCTGGAAAACAGAGGCCTTCCTCCCTGCTCAGGGCCACCCCTCTCCCGGCTGACCTTCAGCCTCCCCTCTCCAGCTCTCTGTCAACACTTGGGCTTCTTTACCTTCCAGGCACTCACTTGCCTGGTGCCTCCCCTCACCTTCCTCAGGGACCTTCCCTGATCTCCCCGCCTCACCCCCTCCTCCTGGGCACACTCCACCCCTTTCCTGTTTCCTTCCCTGAGCTCCCCACGCCTCTCCCCTCCCTCCCTGGCACCCCCCCTTTTCCTGTTTCCTGCCATGACCCTCTGCACATTGCACATGTCTCTGCACATCTCACAGATCTGTCGTCGTCTTCTTTTTTTTTTTTGTAGAGACAGAGTCTGACCTTATTGCCCTCAGTAGAGTGCTATGCCGTCACAGCTCACAGCAACCTCCAACTCCTGGGCTTAAGCGATTCTCCTGCCTCAGCCTCCTGAGTAGCTGGGACTACAGGCGCCTGCCACAATGCCTGGCTATTTTTTTATTGCAGTTTGGCCGGGGCCGGGTTTGAACCTGCCACCCTCAGTATATGGGGGCTGGCGCCTTGCCCACTGAGCCACAGGCGCGGCCCCAGATCTGTCTTCTTTACTGTTTGTTTCCTCCTAGAGCAGAGGTCCTCAAACTTTTTAAACAGGGGGCCAATTCACTGTCCCTCAGACCATTGGAGAGCCGGACTGCAGGCCCTGGGACAAGTCGGCTGCTAAGCAGGACAGGCAGCAGCGGCAAAAACACCTGGTGGGCCAGATAAATGTCCTAGGTGGGCCACATGTGGCCCATGGGCCGCAGTTTGAGAACGCCTGTCCTAGAGCATCAGATCCCTGAGGGCAGAATATTTTGTTTTTTCCACTTATTTATTGTGGTAAAGTTTTGGGAGAACATCACACCTCTATATATAGGGGTGTGTGAGATTTGATGACTGTCTGCCTTGGTGAGTCTTGGGGACCAAGACCTCACCTGCCTGGTCACCTGCCGCATGCCCGGCACCTGGTGGATGGTGCTCCTCAACAGATACAGGCTGATAGCCGGGCGTTGTGGCAGGCACCTATAGTCCCAGATACTTGGGAGGCTGAGGCAGAAGAATTGCCTAAGCCCAGGAGTTGGAGGTTGCTGGAGCGACTCCGCTGCACTCTACCGAGGGCGAAAAAGTGAGACTCTGTCTCTACAAAAAAACCCCAAAAAACCAGATACAGGCTGAGTGTACGAATGAATGATCTGTGGGCCCCACTGGGACTGAAATCCCCTGATATCACACTCCAGGGTGTGGGGGCCCTTGTATAGAGTTGAGGTCACACCTTGGAATGGGGTTGGGGGCTATCTGCTTCCCTTAGGGGGAAGATTTAGAGGATGAAGATTCCCTCTAACACAGGACTGGGGCCCCACGAGCTGTATTTGAACTTGGAAAATCTTGAGGCCCAACAAATGAGGATTCTTTCTGGCTCTGTCCATACCAGCCACGGCCACCAGGGGGCAGCACCAGGTTGCTATGAGTTGGCCCAGCTTCTGCCATCTGGGCATTTGGGGGTCTAGAACTCTCCACCCTGACTTGACACTGAGGACTCACTCTGTTACCCACAGGCCAAGCTGGAGGAGAGAGGAGGCACCACAGTGCTTGGGAAGCCAGACCAAGGTCACACAGCATGGCTGTGGCAGAGTTGAGCTGGACCTCACCCCCTCC